GTTTTAATAATGATAAAATATTAGGGTGGTATTTCTACCTTGAAATAGAACATTATTGATGGCTGAGAGGACCTATCAACTATCTTCAAAAGAAACAAAGATCAAAATACATAATAAATAGAATTTGATGTATCTTAGATTTCTTCAACATATGATCATTGCTCCTTGTAGAACTCGTCTTCAAAAGAGAGAATAATAACACAAAAATATATATATATATATATATATATATATATCTATTTTAAATATTATCTAAATAATATAAATAGATAGAAGTAAGTAAAAGTGGATTAATTTTATAATACCTTTTAGAAAAGCTTCCTAAAAGCTTTTTAAATACTATTTTGACTTTACATGTATTTGGAGTTGATTAATAGGTTAGAAACTTGGTCAATAAGCTAATTACATGTCATATGTGTTGGTAGCTTGTAAAACAAGCTAATTATGTGGTGTCTATATAGAAAACTTGCCTTATAAGTTAAAATATAGATCATGCAAAGTCAACACATTTTTAATGGTCCTGTAGAATGTTGCCATATAAAATCTTAGATAGATAGTATATATAGAGGCAAGAATGAAGCTTTTTTCACTCTTGTCAATTCTTTTCTTGCTTCTAGTCTAGTTTCAAGAGTCTCTAATTTTCTTGTCTTTTAGCAATAACTATTTCAATTTCTTATTTAATATATATATTTTTCTATTTTTATTTTTTTATATTTCTTTGAGAGAGCCTCATTTGATTATTTTCTTTCATCGAATTCTTTTTTTAGATATTTTTTTATTTTGAATTAAAATGGCTATTGCTAAAGACAAAAAAATTAGAAAATCTTCAAACAAGACTAAAGATTAAAAAGGCATTGACAAGAGTAATGAAGGCCTCACTCTTGTTTCTATATATACAATCAAACTAGGAGCTACATGATAATATTCAATAAAACTTTCAACATGTATTGACTTTACTAGATACATGATTTAACTTGCAAGGCAAGTTATATATATGTGTGCTATATAGTTAGCTTATTTCACAAGCTACTAACATATGTATCATGTAACTAACTTATTGACAAAGTTTCTAATCTATCAATTAATTACAAACATGTTGTCATATTATGATTTGGCTACCATATGAAAATGCTACACATATATATCTAATACATAATTTACTATATAATGTAGTAAAAACCGTGTTATTAGCTTCTAATTATTCACAAAATATAATTAAATTATTATTTTGAAGTGATTAGTTTTAATAGACTATTATTGAAGTTTATTTTATGTTGATAATAATTTTTATATATTTAGAGCCATCTTTATTAAACATTGATGATTCTTAAAATTTTATTTATTTATTTTATTTAATATTTAGGACATATATTATATAAATCTTATAAAATAAATATTAGAGAGGAATTTTGGTAGCAAAAAGAGTAATTAAGGCATCCATATAGGTGAATGGAGATGGATGATAAAAACCTCTATTACTATTGGCTAAAAGGCATGTCCAATAGACTTTAAGGGTTCTATCTAAGGCCTTATTAAGGATTAGGATTACTCTTTCAAAGCCATTCAAACTTAAGAGACTAAGATTAAGAAGTTTAGGATTTTAACTATGATTTTGGTACAAATTTTGAGTGATTTGGAGTTTTTATGAGAGAGATATGGATGCTCAAAGTTAAGGTATTGATTTTATACCTATTGTCACTCTTTTAGACATAACGCATATGTACAAAAAATAATAAAGAATCAGCAACTAAAAGTTGAAGAGAATAATTTTTTTACTATACTTTTTTTATATTTTTTGATAAATTCTAAGCTAGGATAAAGGAGATATAGAAAGTTGAAGCTAGTACTTGCAATCTTAAAGCAGTAAGTGACCCAATTTACTATTAGTTGTATTTTAAGCTATATCTTGAGAAATTTGACAAGATTTTAGCTCAAAATTTCTAAAAATATGTATTATTATGTTACTAAATTTTATATATAAATTTTATGGTATTTAGATTTTTGGTTTTTGAGATATAGAAAAAATAGTACTAGGGTGCTTATAAATTAGGATTTAGAATACCTGCTAGGATTTCTAAGATGTCTAATGATTTGTAGTAGATTTATAGTTTATTTTTTTTATATAGTAAAGCTTAAAAATAAATTTTATATTATCTAGAAATTTTTAAAAAATTAAATGGTTGGATCTAAAAATATGAATTTTTAAATTTTAGAGAGAAAAAATCCTTTGTGGGAGAAAAATATTTTGAAAGGGTTTTATTAGTATTTGGACATTTTATGCAAAATAAAGAGGTTTTTGAGAACAAAGACTTTATACATATGTTAAAGATTGAGATATGGAGCTATGAAAAAATTATGGTATAAAGATGAATTTTTGTAAAGAGATTATAGATTTTCTTTGAGATTATTGAAAATGAAGCTTACTGGCAAATGATTTAGTTATGACTTAGTATAGCAAAAGATATTAGGGCATTTCTAGATGCTTTAAAAAGCCTTATATATAAATATTCTTAAATATAAAATAATTTTATTAGTAGAATATATTTTGATACTATCATATTTATTTTGTCTCTATAATAAGAATACATCACTTATTAGAACTTTTCTAATAAGTTAAAGCTAAATTCTCTACAACTAGATACTCGGTATATTTTTAAATAAAAAATTACACCATAAAATAATGTGTAAAGCCAAAGTAGTATCTATGAAGCTTCTAACAAGCTTCATTAAAAGATATTATGAAATTAATTTATTTTTATCTACTTCTATTTAATCATATAAATAATTATTAGAATAAATATACATATCTGTAATAATAGTTGTATGCAATTGCATCTTAATTATCTCATGATCCATCATCTTCATATTTTTAGTTAGCTCATTGTAACTTAATACCTTCAATTTCTAAGCACATTTTATTCAATGAAAAATTATCCACTAATTGGTTGGATTTATTGGATGCAATTCTCAAAAGATAGTTCTTTTCTTCTATTCTTTGAAGTCCAATTTTTAAATTATATGCTCCAAAAATTAAAGAAAGAAAATTTATGTGGTATAAAATTTAATATGTCATTTTATTGTTAAGCTTTCAAAAAATTATCAAATCAATAACAATATATCACCTTATAGCATATTACACTTAATTTCTAGCTAAACCTATTCATCTTTTTAATTTTTCTTTTTTTCAATTTCTTCTTTGATACAAGCTTCTATTTTTTAATCAAAAGATTCTTTTGGATATATTGATATATGAAGTAATTTTTTAGACCAAAGATCAATAAGGCTCTCAATATGACAATAAGAATAATCAGCCCTAGATTTATACAAGTTTCGTGTTCAATACTTCCATGTGACAACATAGACAATTTGTTGAATGAAGGTAGAAAACAATAGCAACAGTAGTAGTAGTAGGAAAGCCAAGCAATCCACTTCCATAGGTAAGTGAATAAGAATGTGAATACACCATAAATCTATCCTATGAATAAAAAAAATTAAAAATTAATATATTGCAATAAAAATAACACTCAAATATGACTCCAATACTTATAAAAATTAAAACAAGATGTATTTCCTCTCTTATTTAATCATCTTTCAAATATAAACTATAAATCCAAAGAGTTTCTAAAATTAATATATAATTTTAGAAAATAATTTTTTAGACTTAAAAAATCAAATTTTCAATGACATGCAACATCATCAAAAGCTTTGATATGTAGTACTGTTCTAAGCTATAATATCTCTTAATAAATGTGATTCTAGAATTTCTAAAAGCTTTACATCCATTGATACAAAAATAAGCATTATATACCATAATTCATCTCATATTATCAATAGTTATATTGAGACTATTTCTTCTTGATGGAATAAGAGCATGACCCTCAAATCAAGAAGGTCAAAAATTATCATACATGGATTTGTAAACCTACAATACCAAACCTCGCAACTTAAAGCACTCATTTCTAATATTGAATTTGAAAGACCAAAATCAAGCAAAAACTTCACCTTGAGGAGTGCAAAAAACAAAAGAACTTATTATCTATGACAAAAAAAATTTGCTTTGTTGTACCAATCGATGCTACTCTATGTTCACCTCAAAATTTTGTCATATGGAGCAACTACAGTTGCAAAATTGCAATTCTCAAGAGACTGCTTTCTAATAGAGAGAGTTGAAACATGGAAATAGATTGGAGATTCATTCCTTTAAAAATGTGATCCAAAATGAGAGTAAAAAAGGTACTGATCAATGCCGGCCATAAAGACAAAGCTTGTACGATCCAACTTTATTAATCATTGACTTTGTGAATTAAGCCCTATGCTTCAAAATCTACCTTGCAAATCTACCTTGCAAATCTTGAAAATAATCGTTATCAAACCTAACAAGTGAATATCTCAAGCAAAGGAGAGTCTTGGGTACAAAAGACAAGGCTATTCTTTGCACTCATAAAGAAAGTCTTGAACAAAGGAGAATCTTGGGCAGTCTTGATAGAATTGCCTCCACACTCATGAAGGTTGAACTAAGAGAGCAGCAGATACATTTTGAATAATGATGATCTAGCTCATCTACATCAAATCATAATCATGAGCACACCACATGGGATAGAGTGACATTGGACTAAAATAATCCTAACATGGCCAAGGAAGTGTGGCTTTAACAAAATTGGAGTGTGGCTTTTACAAGTCCTTAAATTTAATATAATTTTTTTAATATAAAGATTTAACAAATGATTATTTAGCTAGAACTATCAATAGCTAACATTATATTTTTGACTATTTTCTTGACAGTAATAGTTATCAAGAGCAGTAGAAAATAACTAGTGTGAAATCCAAAGAAGCTACAGGAGGGATTAACAACAAACTGTCTGGTTTTTTCATGACATTACCGTAACTGGACCGCAAAGCATAGCTTAGGCTCCAAAAAATCTATGATTTTTTACGTAGGCTTCGTCGGGCCTTAGCCCTCCCTCTCAGCGAAGCCGGAAAAAGGGCCGAGTCTCGCTCTGAAGTGTGAATATTGTGACTTATTGAGACTCAAACCAGCTCTTTATTTGCAAATCGCACGGAAATACTTGTGTGTGGATATAACAAACCAGTGGGCCGTCAGCAAAGGAGCAAGGCAACTGCACTTTCTCTTGCGTAGCAATGGTCTAAACATGTTAAAAAATGTTTCGATGGAGGCGTCGAAGTAGAGTCCATAATTAATGAACACAATGGGTGGTGGAGGAGTAATCTCAATAGAGCGGTAGAGCTGGTGCTTGAACATGCACAGGTACTACTTAGTAAACCACCAAGTGAACCGTCTGTTCTTCTTTGCGGGTCCAATAGAGATATCGATCGAAGAACTGGTGCTGACCAGCTCCCTCGGCACTTTATGCAGCTTGAGATTGCCGGCTTCTTCCTTGATGGTGATGCTCTTGTAGTCGCAGAGATCGTCAGAGTTGAGTACCACATTCGGCGGTCCATCGTTATCGACAACCCTCAGGGTGTACTCGCAGTACGTCGCGTTACAATCGGCTCTGATGTTGATCTTCTTGCCTGCCTCGACCGTAGCCATATCCGAGACACGGCAACCACTGCCTACTTGCAGCTTTATCGCCTGGTTCGTCCCGTTGGCGATATCCGTAGATGTCATTGCAGAGACGTAGTGCAAAGCGGCGTTGAAACCCTCTGATTACCGACTTCGAGGCCTCCCCTGAAGGCGCTTCGAATAGAACCGAAGAGAATACACTGTCGAGAAAGAAATCGGTCTGTTAGTGCTACAAAAAGGAATAACGAAGCTGCAACCAAGCTGGTAGAAATACAAATTCAATGCAGAATCACACCTTAGCAGAAGGGAAACAACTGCAACTGCATCAAATGAACATGAGGTGCTTGATATCTAAGCCTTTTAAGTCCCTCAATTACCGACTGATAAAAATATGGTAAACTGAACGGAGATGAATAATCTGCTGTTAAAAGTGGCAGCCACTATGTGGTTGCGCTGAAAGTATACTCATCTCCGACCAACTCGTTGAAATAGTATAAGCACATCACCGATGTTCACCGAAGCTTCACTACCAATAAGCCTACGGCTTCTTTCGTATCAAAACATGCCCTGTTTGTTAGTATTAGCAAATGACAAAGTAACATTAGACAGCGCTGTAAGTGGAGGCTTTCAAAACGGCTAGAAACGTCCAATTTGGTGTATACCTTTTCAATCTTCACTACCTGACATAGTTTTTAAAGCAATGATGCAATGGTAGAAAATCCTTGCCGGTTCTACACAAGAGAAATGAGGCTGGGAATTCACCTCCACAGTAATATTGTCAGCATCGAAGTAGAGCTCCTCTTCAGCTTTCTGCGAGGATTAAAAGCCCCTCATACTGCTCGACAGAATGAGTGGAATGGCCGGCAACGCTCAGGGTTTAGAATGGTTCCATTTGCTCCCCAAGATTCTGCGAGGTTAGAGAAGCTTAATTGGTACCATTCGATCACAATCTCGCGCGTTGAGATCCATGGAAAATTCATGAGGCATTGCTGCTGCATGCGTTACAAATTTGCAGCAGATGTATCGAAAACACAGATATAGGCGTCGGTGGCTACCCTGTGAACAGGCTACACGATGAGAAATTTGTCGAAGTATCACATACAAGTCCAGGGAGGGATTTCCGTGGCTAACATTGCAGCGTAAGTGTGGTGAAGTGCGAACGTCTGTAGACTGAAAAGAGTTTAAACATCCATCAACTTGGGCTCGGGAACCGTAACCCGTTCGACACGGGCATTGAAACGAGAAAAACTCTGCTACGGACTATTACCTTGTTAATTAAGAAGCCTGGGACTACCATGAAATCTACGCTTGCTATATAATCACTCGACTGATCACCGTCATCATCGGACTCGGACTCCTGGAAAATAACCGACTCCATGAACCTCTCAACAAATTGTTCGGATTGTGGAACACGAAAAATCCGAACTACGGGATTAAACGAAAAAGCAAGTTTGTGGACTTTCCACACACTCATCGCAAGCTTAACAAACGTTGTTCCGAGTGTGTCAGCGACCTGAGAGGTGGAGCCATCTTCAGAGGTAGACTGCTCAAAGGCACGGAACATAATTTCGTTAACCATGCTTTCGACCTCGGGAATGGCCGCACTCAGGTTAGCCAGCTTCAGCCTACAAAATTTGGTGAAAAGGTTGTCTCCCATAAGCACATGTTTCTCCGCATAGTCCATGGAGCACAAATGTTTGTACTGACGGAAATTTTCCATCCTCTGTTCCTCCATGTCCAGAAATCCTGGTGTGCTATCTTGCAACTCAAAGCATTCATTCTCGAAGCCTTGGAACAATAACTTGCAAGTGATCGCCTCCAAAACGTACTTCAAGGGAGCTGCCTTACCAATCGATTGGGAGCGAACAAAGTCGTTGCGAGCCACTGCCATGCCATCTATCTTGCCCTGATCCATCGCCTTCGTCAGAAGCCTTGCGAAGTTTCCGGCTACTTCGTGCACGCGTTGGACAGCCTTATCGAGAAGATAGGGAGTGGCCTGTGTTTCCAGAAATGAATCTCCTCCGTGGTACTCCTTAGGTGGTGGTAGAAACTCCACGCTTCCTGAATCCCTCTTCAATAGTTGTATTTGGTTTTTTAGGTCATCTATTTCTCGCATCAATTCTGACGTCGAATCCTTTGCCTCCGATTCACTCGAATCCACTTGTGCTTTCAAACTAAAGTATTCCGCTTCAAACTCTCGCTCCTCCTGGTCGCCATAGCTACTTATTGCTGTTGCATTTGCGGCCATCGCAGTTGTAAGAGATTTGTTTATGTGACGAAGATCTTGCGCTTCCTGCTCTAATATCTCAAATTGAGCATTTCTCTGCTTTAAATCTTGCTCTAATTTCTGAATTAACAACTGTCTATGCTCCAAATGTTCGAGCTCAACACGCAATCGACTTCGGAGATTTTGCATCTCCATGTCGTTGGTTCGCAATTTCAATTGTAGAGTTGACATTTGGTGTTTGAGCTCTTCTATGCGCTTTGAAGATGCTTCTACCTGGTTAGTCAACTGTTTTCTGTTGGCCTCCAATTTATCAATTGTTGTTCTCAATTCAACATGCGAGAGCTTCGTGTCGACCTGGCCTCCAGAGTCTGCTTCTCTTGCTCTTGTCTCCTCCTGCATGGCTATATTACTCTTCAATTCTTGGTTCTCCCGGCTGAGCTCTTGCAAAGTACTTGTCAAGTCCCGGTTCTCCCCGCTACGCTCTTGCAAAGAACTTTTCAATTCCTGGTTCTCATCTTTAAGCTTCTGCAAAGAACTTTTCAATTCCTGGTACTCATCTTTAAGCTTCTGCAAAGAACTCTTCAATACATGGTTCTCATCTATAAGCTTTTGCGAAGTACTCTTGAACTCCTGGTTCTCACGTCTAAACACTACTAATAGACTTTTCGATTCAAGACATTCACGTTTAAGCTGTTCCACATCATTTTTCAGCTTCCTGCACTCAGCATCTTTCATTTCTAGAGCTGCATCTTTTTTTGCCAAAACAACGGTATTGTCCAACAGGTTCTGTCGAAGCTGTGAAGCATCTTCCGCCTCCTTTTTCATCTTTATTATTTGAAACTCAAGTTCTAATTTGAAATGCTCGCGATCTTTCAAGACCTTGGAAAAGTCGTTCTCCCGAAGCTTAACCCGATTTTTCAAAATTTCGATCTCTTTTCTAAGTCTTATAACCTCCGTCTCGTTGACCCTAGCCTCATGCACAGCAGGTTTGTAACTGATGTCATCACCGAATTTCCGAACGTGACTACCGACGTTTCCGTGATGGTAACCATTAGCACCGTCGGCAGTATTTCGACTTTGAGGGTCCATGGATGGAGCATAAGACGAATGACTAGTGGAGTGCCTAAATTCAGGTTCTTTGTCATGTGGCGAAGGTCTGGAAAATTCCGGACCAGTGCCGCCAGCAGAAGGACTGTCTCTTGTGGCTGTGTTTGAATGCCCGCCGAGACCTACAAAATTCAACACAAAGTTCGGGAACCAACTTAGGAGTCCCACCGGTTGATGTGGTGATCTTTCTTCATCGCGTAAGCCTACACGAGCATCTCTGGGGTCATTTCCTGGGTTATAAACCATCGAACCCAAATTCGAGAAGCCATACCCTAGATCATCTCCCCATGTACGATTATTTGTGGTATCATGCGCATCTTTAGGGTCCTTTCTTGGGGTATAATCCATCGAACCAAACTTCGGGTAGCCATACCCTCGGTCATCTCCCTGTGTGCGGTTACTCGTCGTAGCATATGCATCTCTAGGGCTATTTCTTGAGCTAGGATCCAACCAACCCATCTTCGAGCTGCTATGCTCTTGGCCATCTCCCCATGTACGGTTTCTTGAGGAATCATACGCTCCTCGCTCAGGTCCCCACGCAGGCCATCCTGTGGGGCCATACGTCTCTCTATAAGGAACCTGTGGGTATCCATTCCGTTCATGTGCCATTCTACGAATTGATGACAACCTGATTTATCAATGTAGAACCAGCACATTCTGTATCTTCCAACACCTGGAATTTTGACACCTTGCCGATGGAATCACCCTAGCGCACTGAAACAGTAAACAGTACACTTCGAACAATGAGAGGGTTACAACCAAACGCAAGAAAGAGATCAAACATGTTCGGTGCAGAGGTCAACTCAACAGACTTTCGTCAAGCAAAACCAGACGCTAAAACAAGAAAGTTGCATCCAACGGCAGCGGAGATAAAAAGAACCTCCCCGAAAACTACCAACGGCTCACTGCACTGTAAGACCACCTCAAGGTACCACGAGTATAAAACTGATGCGATCGTGATCTGAAGCCAATGTAAATACTGAGACGGCTCTGGAGGAAATCTTTTTAAATCAAAATCTCTTCTAGCACCACAAAACCCTTTAAGAACAAACCCCTTCATAGGAGTGTAGAATTCCTAACCAGGTCCCGAATCTAGTTCATCCTGTAGTAATCATCCAACATAAACCCAGTGAAACAAAACGTCTGAGAAAACTTTCAAAAATCAAAATGATTCTCTGAGAAGCTGCCAGAATTTGAAGGGTACCCTCCCAGATGCCTCTCATCCACAACAGGAAAGAGGATCCTCACTACGCCATCAGAGGCAACTTTCACTGAACTTACACGAGGATTACACGCCCCATCTTCAAAGCCAGGAGCAGCTACTCTCCACGATCCATGAAATCTCAGAGTTATTTGTTGATGAAACCCTAGAAGTCGCTTTACATACACAAGAAGAAGCTCTCTGCAACAATTGAAACGCAACAGCATGCAGCTGCTCGTTCGGAGAGAGTGCAATGAGGTTCTAGACATCCTGTGCGCTAAACAAAAACGCCCACTAGCGATCTCGACACAAGCAGTTGAGCAAGGCAACCGCAACGACGCTTAAATATCTCGTCTGGCTGAAGGAGAACAGAAATAAACAAAGAAGTTAATAATAAAAAAAACGGGCGGTGAAATACCCAGGGCGGAGGAATTCAATCATCGTCACCACTGATCCGCGAGCCAAAGAATGGAACGCTCCAGGAGCACTGGACTGCCCCCAACACTTCAACTCCGACGATCCCATCTGCCAGGAAGCCGCACTCTAAACCTCGAACTCCGGCTAGAGAGTATCACTTCCAACTCCTCAAAATCCATGAAGTAAAAACCATCAAAACGAAAAACGAGTGCTCGATTTTGGACAAGTTAACTCATGAAAGGTCGGACAAGTGATCAATGTCGTTTTAAGGATCTTCACCCACACTGCATCAGCGCAGGTGTGGGATTGAGCTTGTAACGAGAGATTGTAGATTAGCGACGAGAGCGCTCTGCCGACAGACAACGAGAAACTACCCCGTAATTCTCGATCACCACGCTCCTCCTCCGCAAAAGGGGAGAAACCAACGGACCAGGATTCACAAAGCCTGGTACACAGTGACAAAAGCATGGGACTGTGGTCGAGTTCAAGGCTAAGGAAGAAAACAAAAACATATATTTATATATATTCTTCGCATCGGAGGGTGTGCAGTTGCGGACACGCTCATCGAGAAATCCATCACACCAGGAAAACATTGGCACCATCCTTCCTTTTCATAATGAATGAATGACTGAATGATAGGTGGGTCAAGTGAGCGAGTGATCGTGCCAGAAAAATTCAGGTTGCTGCTGCGACCTTGATTGCCCCCTCGCGAATCGGTACCGCGAATCGGAACCGCTGCTACGCCTCTCCTGCGACGATCTATCTCCGTGTTGATTGTGCGAAGCTTCGAGGACCTGGGTCACAGAGTGGGTGGATTGTACGGGAGGGAGCCTCACGCCCATCTTGCTCATCTGTCGTCTGACGTGGCTTGCCTGCAGAATGGGGAGGGAAATGTTGAATATATTTATTTATTTATTTATTTACAGACAGACATACATACATACATACATACATACATATTCACTTTAGTTAGGAGAATATTATTTGGAGATTTATTTTGTATAGTATACTAGTCTCTTGTATAGAATACTACCTATTAAGTATTAACTTTACACCAAGAGTTGTGACTATTGGTGTCACTCTTATACACACAATATATTGTGTAATATTAATCATATTAATACATGTAATTGCCTTCAAAGCTTCAAATGCTACTTCATATTCTTTGGTATCAAAGCATTAGAAATATTTGATCCCTAAAAAACTATAAGAATAGATGAATGTTTCAATCTAAAAAAGAATTGCTGAAATTACAAAAAAAGATTATAATGATAACAATAAAACAATCTACTATATGAAGAAAGGTTGATGAAGAGTTTGAAGTTCTTCAAACCATAAAAAGCAATTCTAAATTTGAAAATGGCAACAAATAAACCATAAATAAAGATAAAATTGAATTGATTAAGAATAAATTTAAAAATAATTCCAATTCAACTTTAAATTAAGAATATTGAAGGTGACACAATATCAAGGACATGAATCTTGAAGAAAGAAATCCTCAATACACTCTTGTGTCATTAAAAACAACTAAAAAGTCACTCAAAGATGATATAATATTGAGCTAGAATGGCTATTGCTAAAAATAAGAAGACTAAAAAGTCTTGAAACAAGACTAAAGACTAGAAAAGCATTAACAAGAGTGAAGAAGGCTTCACTTTTGCCTCCATATACTCTTAACTAGGAGCTATGTAGCAATATCCTATAGGATCTCCAAAACATGTTGACTTTGCAAGACACATATCTTAATTTGCAAGACAAGTTTTCAATGTGTGCGCCACAAAGTTAGCTTGTTCCTCAAGCTACTAACATGTGATTAACTTGTTGATGAAGTTTCTAACCTACTAATTAAGTACAAACACATGTAAAATCAAAACAATACCTATAAAACATTGAGAGTCTCTTCTAAACTTGTAATACTAAACACGTTGTATCTTACCATCTATTCAAAGAAAGACGTGTCATTTTTGACGATCTTCATCTTGATTACATTGTCTTAAAGCTTCTAACAATCACAATGTCTTATTTAAAAAGTCAGCAAGTAAAAGTTCTTGAGTTGAATCTACTAATTGTTGGTTTTCTATCTCTTTAGCATCACAAATATATAGAAGCTATAAAGAAGGATAGAAAATTAAATATTATCTTCCTTGGATCTTATTTTTTTTTATAGCAAAGATTTTTTATTCTTCATCTTGGTTTTGATGGATATCATCAATAAAAAGCCTCAACTTTCTTTGTTGTATTTGCAAGATTTTTTGCTTGCTCTCATGTATATTCATAGATATCATATTTGTGCTAATGAACAAGCTATTTCAACCTATTTTGGTACTGCCTTGAATCTAAGACTTCTTCCACCTTGAACTCTTCATTATTATCCACTTCTATAAATCAATACAATATAAAATTGGTAAAAAGTAAATCCTTTTTTTAAAGCATTTAATGATGCTTTGGCTTCTTTATTCCACTAAAGTTTGTCTTTATAAGTCAAATATATAAGGAGAGCTGCAACTTAAGAAAAATTCTTAATAAAGATCTAATAGTAATTGGCAAAGCTCAAAAAGTATTGCACATGTCTTAATGTTCTTAGAATCTTCCAATCCATGATGATCTGGATCTTCTTCGTATCTATCATAAATCCTTTGTTGGAAATGATGTAACCTAGAAAGTCAACTTGAGTAGTATGGAATAAACACTTTTCTAATTTGGCATATAATCCTATATCTCTAAGTTTTTGTAACACACAACAAACATAAATTTCATGCTCTTCTGTGTTCTTAGAGTATAAAAAGATATCGTCCAAATAATTGATAACAAAATCATCAAAAACCTCACAAAAGACATCATTCATTAGATGTTGAAAAATAGTTGGTACATTTGTGAGTCCAAAAGTCATGACATTATATTCAAAATATCCATACCCAGTTCAAAATATAGTTTTTTATTTCTTTCTTTTTTTAATTCATATCAAATTATATATTCTTTATAGATATATTTTTGTATAAATCTTTCCTTGATTGACTTGATTAAGAAGTCTTAAAATCAAAGATAGAGTATACATATTCTTAATAAAGATCTTGTTGAATCCTTCATAGTCCACATATATCTGCAAAGATCCATCTTTTTTCTTCACAAATAAGATAGGAGCTCTGATTGGAGATTTTGAATGGCATATAAAATTCTTAGCCAAGTTCTCATAAATACATTTCTTCAGTGCAGCCAACTTGTTATGGGATAGGCTAAAGATTTCAGCATGTATGAAAGCTCTTGTACCTACTAATAAGGGTTTGGTTGTACCAAATTTATGTATTTTTATTAATCAAATGGAATTTTGGATTACACTATCAAAAAAATTAAGATTATGAAAAATCCAATTTATTTGAAGATTATACTTTTTAAATTAAGATAATCTTAAAATAACTAGATTAGATAGAAATCTAATTATATTAAATATTATTATATTATTATGATCTTTAATTACTACATCTAAAGGAATAGTTTCATATATAACATCTCTAGAAGATAACAAATGACCATCTATAATTTCTATATATACATCTTAAGTTTTTTTTATTAACAATATTTCTTATTTTTTACAAAATCTTTGTCTACATAACAAGCTAGGACTTCTGAATCTAACAAAGCTAAGACTTTGTGATTTTTTGGTCCTAAATAAACTTCTATTATAAAATAAGGTGAAAGTTTTGAAGAAAGAATAAGATATTTACTAAGAATTAGGTAAGATTTCAATCGCACAGTCCCTATTGCAGCTAAAAAAACTTGTTTTTGAACATATTATCTTCTTTGGCAACTACGCTTCTCATTTTGTGGTTGTGTTATTTTTTTAGACAATATTGAGTAGTGTGTTTAGCTTTTTCATAATATAAGCATAAGACTTATTGTTGTTATGAAATCTTTTTCTATTCTTTGAGGAATTTAAAGTATATCATATCAATTTGCATTGATTTTGGCCTGGATGAATAAGTTTTTGAAAACTTGGGAGCTACCATCATTATTTTGCTTATTCTTCTCCAACCAAGTCTTTATTCTTGACATCTTTAAAATAATCAATTTTTGCATGTAATGGCTTAATATCAAGGACATGAATCTCGAAGAAAGAGAATCCTCAATACTCTTCTATCATTGAAGAGAACTAAAAAGTCACTCAAAAGGTGATGTAATATTAACTAGAATGACTATTACTAAAAATAAAAAGACTAGAAAGTCTTAAAAAGAGACTAAGTCTAGAAAGGCGTTGACAAGAGTGAAGAAGGCTTCACACTTGCTTCTATATATACTATCTAACTAAGAACTACGTGGCGATGTCCTATAGAACCTTCAACATGTGTTGACTTTGTTAGCCATATGTCTTATCTTATAAGGCAAGTTATTTATGTATGCGCCATATAGTTGGCATGTTCCACAAGCTACTACACGGAGATAACTTGCTCTACAAGCTACCAATACATGGTTAGCTTTTTGGCCAAGTTTCTAACCTACAAACACATCTAAAGTCAAAATTACATCTATCAAGCTTCTAGGAAGTTTTTCTAGAAGACTTTATGAAATTTTTTTATATTTATTTATTTCTACTTAATCATATAAATAACTATTGAAGTAAATGTATATGTCCGTGACATTACCCTCCCTTGCAGAGACAAGTTCCATGAGGAGCAGTCTTCATATGTTGAGGAAGTCCAAGATGCAACGAATTGTATTTGCTACATACTCTGATCTTTGCTCTTTTTGAAGATGGTTGATATGTCCTCTTAACCATCTATAGTATCTCATACCAAGTCAAGAAGACCACCTTGTTATTTGGTCATTGTTGAGGCCTTCATAACTTCCTTCAAATAAAACATTTGGAATATTGTCAAGAGTTGTTCTTATCTTTAATAAAATCACTAAACTTCGAGAGTCTTTTCCAAAGTTGTAATATCAAACATGTTGTATCTTGCCATCTATTATAGGAAGGACATGTCATTCTTGAGAATCTTCATCTCAATTTTGTCATCTTGAAGGTTGTGACAATCGTAATTTCTTATCTGGTAAATCCGCACATGAAAGCTCTTGAGTTGAATCTACTGGTTGTTGGTGCTCCATCTCATCACAAATACACAGAAACTACAATGAAAGATAGAAGGTAGAATGTTATTTTCCTTTGATCTTGTTTTTTTTATAGCAAAGGTTTGTTATTCTTCATCTTGGTTTTGATGGATGTCGTTGATGAAAGACTTCAACTTTCTTTGCTACATTTGCAAGATTCTTTGATGGCTCCCATGTGCATTGACTAATATCATATCCATGCCAATAAACAAGATATTCCAACCTATTTCGGTGCCACTTTGAATCTAAGAATTCTTCCACCTCAAATTCTTGGTTATTATCTACTTCTATAGGAGGAGGTGGCATTTATCTTCTTTCCAAGATATTCATTGTCTTATACGGCTTCAAAAGAGACATGTAAAATATAGGGTGGATTTTCATTAACTCCAGTAGATGTAATCGATGGCCAACAGAATTGATTTGTTCACAAATAGGAAAAGGTCCCAACTT